TCTTGCTGACACGACGTTGGAATGTGCTATTTCGCTTTTGAAACTCCTCGGGTTTGCCTTTTCGGAGCACAAACTGAAGCCGTTTGCGGACCGGGCAACTGTCCTGGGGGTTGAAGTCGATCTTGCGGGTGTGGCAACGGATGATGTGAAAGTGCGCAACAAGCCTGGGAGAGTCGAAGAAATTGATGTGGCTGTTCAATCGCTTTTGGAAAAGGGTACTGCGACCGCAAGTGAGTGCAGCAAAATCATTGGCAGGTTGCAATATGCGGATAGCCAGGTCATGGGGCGGACTGGGCGTCTGGCTTTGGCCGAACTGCGCGAAGCGGTTCGCGCCCCTTGCAAGTCTGTCATGCTTAGCAATGCAGCAGTGGAGTCGTTCAAGAACTTGGTTGCAAGGATCACCGGTGGGTTGCCGAGATCCATACCTTGTGGGGAGCCTTGTCCGCCTTTGCTGGTGTACACTGACGGGGCTAGCGAGCAAGACCTACACACTGTGGGTGGTATTCTGGTTGCGCCGCATGTGGCCCAGTGCAGGTATTTCTCAGCGCATGTGCCGAAACGATTGGTTGCAGTTTGGAAGGAGACAATGAAGCATGTGATTGGACCCGTTGAACTGTATGCTGTCGTTTTGGCTAGGTACACTTGGCATGAGTACCTGGTGCAAGGCAAGAGCATCTACTTCGTTGACAGCTACGCTGCCCTTGACTCATGCGTCAAGGGAACTTCAACTAATGACAAGTTCCGGAGACTTCTCCTTGCCTTTGAGGAAGCAGACTTGAGGGGGCACACATGGAGTTGGTTTTCGCGCATCCCCTCAAAGTCCAACCCAGCGGATGACCCGTCGCGAGGTGAGCGCAGCACTGTTGTAACGGCCTTGAATGCAGTCAGGGACCAGTGCTCTTGTCCGATCACGGGGCTGCCCTTGGAGCCTTTGTGAGTCTTTGACATGAGTATGAAAGTGGGGAGGTGGGAATGTCAAAGAGTGGTCCATTCGAAGAATGGATGCCACTGAAATTCATTCACCTGCCCATTGATCCGGACAAACAGTGAGAGCCTTGCGATCGGATTGTCTCAGTGAATGTGCCACCTTGCTAGTGTGCAAGGTTTGATTTGCATATTCAGGGTGTAGTAACCTCTGCTTGCCCTGCGGTTACTTCCCCCCCTTTTGGGCCTTGTGTTTGAGTTAAGGGTGTTCAAAGGTAAACTGGGCTTCGCCCTGTTCCCTTTTAACAAACCTTAAGCGTGAGCCTGTCGAACCTCAAACACTTGGCTGTCATTGCATGCGTTTGAAATGATGATGAGTTTTTCCACTCCTGTTATACTTTTGCTCGAGTGGGTGGGTGTGGTGGGACCGGTGGTCTAATGACCGCCGCGCGACCCGCCCTCCCATCCCCTGTCAAGGAGTGGTCCATTCGAAGAATGGATGCCACTGAAATTCAGTGGGAATGTCAAAGAGTGGTCCATTCGAAGAATGGATGCCACTGAAATTCATTCACCTGCCCATTGATCCGGACAAACAGTGAGAGCCTTGCGATCGGATTGTCTCAGTGAATGTGCCACCTTGCTAGTGTGCAAGGTTTGATTTGCATATTCAGGGTGTAGTAACCTCTGCTTGCCCTGCGGTTACTTCCCCCCCTTTTGGGCCTTGTGTTTGAGTTAAGGGTGTTCAAAAGCAGCATTAGCAGCAGCATAAGCAGCATTAGCAGCAGCATTAGCAGCATTAGCAGCAGCAGCAGCAACAGCAACAGCAGCAGCAGCAGCGTTAGCAGCGTTAGCAGCGTTAGAAGCGTTAGCAGCGTTAGCAGCGTTAGCAGCATTAGCAGCGTTAGCAGCGTTAGCAGCATTAGCAGCATTAGCAGCATAAGCAGCATTAGCAGCATTAGCAGCAGTAGCAGCATTGGCAGCATTAGCAGCATCAGCAGCATTAGCAGCATTAGCAGCATTAGCAGCATTAGGCAGCACTAGGCAGCATTAGGCAGCATTAAACAGCATTAGGCAGCATTTGGCAGCATCTGGCAGCATTTTTCATTTGTCAGCATTCAGCATTTGGCAGCATTAGGCAGCATTTGGCAGCATTAAACAACATTAGGCAGCATTTTGGCAGCATTAAACAGCATTTGGCAGCATTTGGCAGCATTTAGCAGCATTTAGCAGCATTTAGCAGCATTTAGCAGCATTTAGCAGCATTTAGCAGCATTTAGCAGCATTTAGCAAGCATCAGCAGCATGAGCAGTATAGCAGCATTAGCAGCATTAGCATCACTAGCAGCATTAGCAGCATCAGCGGCATCAGCAGCATCAACAGCATCCATCAGCAGCATTAGCAGCAGTAGCAGCATTAGCAGCATTAGCAGCATTAGCAGCATTAGCAGCATTTGCAGCATTAGCAGCATTTGCAGCATTAGCAGCATTAGCAGCATTAGCAGCATTAGCAGCAATAGCAGCATTAGCAGCATTAGCAGCATTAGCAGCATTAACAGCACTAGCAGCATTAGCAGCATTAGCAGCATTAGCAGCATTAGCAGCATTAGCAGCATTAGTGCTGCTGCTGCTGCTGCTGCTGCTGCTGCTGCTGCTGCTGCTAATGCTGCTGCTGCTGCTGCTGCTGCTGCTGCTGCTGCTGCTGCTGCTGCTGCAGACCAGCCCAGGCGCAGCGCCCTCCGATACGCCCACGCGCAGTGGCGCGTCGTGCCAAAAAGAAGCAAGAAGTGAGGCAACGGCAGTTTCGGAACCGGGAGCCCAAGGACCGGGGCCGTAGTGCTGCTGCTGCTGCTACGGCGTGCCAGGGACCGAAAAAGAAGCGAGCTGCGCTGCTGCTGCTGCTGCTGCTGCTGCTGCTGCTGCTGATGCTGCTGATGCTGCTGCTGATGCTGCCGCTATTGCTGCTGCTAATGCTACTAATGCTGCTGCTGCTGCTGCTGCTGCTGCTGCTGCTGCTGCTGCTGCTGCCGCACACGGACTCTTGTTGCCAAGCCACTTCCACGTCAAGCATCTTGGTGGTCAGCAGTGGGATGTTGGCCGTGTACGGAGGGAATGGCAACTTGACCCGCCGGAATCTTGCTCACGGCCGCTTGTAGCGAACTGATTGATAGTCCTGCCGTGCCCATCTTGCTGGAAGGCTGCAGCAATCTTGGCAGATTTCTTGACAGACATTGCCTTAGTTGACAAAGAAGCAGTGAGGGGTGCAATGCAATGTGATTTGCGCAATTCACTCACAGGCAAACCATCTCTGCTCTGAAAAACATACCTGCTTTCATATGTTTCACCTTGCTTTTTGCCCGGGAAATCTGGCACAAAGTCTTGCAAAGAAAGCTAAAAAGGCGTAGAGATGCCCTCAGAGGGCGCAAGATCAAGATGATGGCACCCAAATTTGCAACTGGCTTGCAACTAAATGCACAGACATGAGCCTCCACTGTCGCCTTCAAACTCTGCCCAAACTCGATCGTTCCCAGCTGAGTCGACAGCTCCAGTTTTTCCTGAGCACCTTGCCACGCGCAAACAATTTGCCCTTGACAAAGTACTGCAACCACAACAATTGCATTTCGAGACCTGCCTGAGTCGCAAGGGATTGCCGGCTGCGGCAGCTCAGGCTGTGGCGACACACCTGGAACCTGGGGCTGGGGCGATGGTGCCACTTCAGGCAAAACGGTGCCGCCTCGAGGTCCGGAGCAGCGCTGCCACCTGACTGCAAGAAAGCCATTGATCAAACAAGCTATTTGCGTCTGACTTCCCTGATTCATTCAACTCGCGAGCCAAGTGACATGAGCTCGCTCACATGATTGATATTCGCAGCATCGACCGCCGCACCCGCCGTGCGAAGTCGCTTGCCTGACATGGCTTGAAATATCACCGACGCATGCGAAGCACGCGCATGTACGAGGACGCACGCACCCATGCAGCCAAAGTGGCTTTCGCGGTGATCATTGCCGCTTTCCCTCAGACCGGCACCAACTTGCTCTGAACATATTCATGTGAAAAAGCAACGCACAAGAAGCCCTACCCAGAAAAAAAATGCACCAGGCATCTTGTTTTTGGCCAGCAAGAACAAGGTGGTGCCAGGAGCGTTTGGGTCATCCTGCGTCAGACCTGTCTTCCTCTTGTGGTTCATCACCTCCTCCGCCTTCACTGCTCCGTAAGGTGTTCCGCGAAAACTCCTCGTTGATCGTCTCCGTCTCAAACGATGCGTTCAGCGCGTCCAGGATCAGGGCGGTCCTCCCGGGCTTGTCCAAGTTCAGCAGGTTTCTCAGGTTCCTGTTCAAAGCTGCCATCCTCCGCAGCGCGGCGAGAGTAGCACTTCCCCTCAACGCCAGCGGGCCCCCACTTCTCCCCGTCGGGTCGACGGCACTGACGATGCATCTGTCATCTCGGAGGCGGATGCTTCCGGCGCAACCTCAGGAGCTTCGGCCACGTGTTCTGTCAGCTGCCCAGGTGGCTTCGCTTGCTCTAGCGTTTCTCCCCCTGTTTTCTCATTTTGCTTCGCTTCTGCTTCGGCCGCTGCTGGCTCCGTAGCTGCTTCTGCTGCCTGCTCTGTCTGCATCAGCTGCGCGTGCGATGTGCGCTCTGAACCGTGTGATGTGTGCACTGCTTCCTCTGCTTTTTCTGCCACCTGCTCTGGCGCTGTCACTGGTGCCAAACCAGATGTTTCTAGAACTTCCCCCGCCTGCAGCTGTGGTGTGGTTGGGAGCTGCAATACCTCTGCTTGAACCTTGTGAGCTGTCAGGTGCTGTTGCTGCTGCTGCTTGCTGCTTGCTGCTAGCTGCTAGCTGCTAGCTGCTTGCTGCTGCTGCTGCTGCTGCTGCTGCAGCAGCAGCATTAGCAGCAGCAGCATTAGCAGCAGCAGCTCGGGCCCCGGTCCTTTGGCTCCCGGGCCCTAGCTAGTCTTCGTAAGAGGTTCCGAAACTCCCGAACCCCAGCTAGTCTTCGTAAGTTCCGAAACTGCCGTTGAAGCAGTAAGCCCTCAGTCAACCCACTTGCCTTTGCCACATTGTGGGTCCTCGCCAGGCTCAATACTGGCGTCTTTCTGGCCAGAAACACCCAATGGTCCAAGGAGACTTGCTGGCAGAGACAGGCTTGCTGCAAGACTGGCCATTTGCGATCTTTAGCCTTTTAATCGTTTAAAATCTCAATGTTGTTGCCTGGCCGGCAAAGCGCCGCATTTGGTTGCCTGAGAGAGTTTGCGGCAAGTTACTTAAGCGTGTTTTTCTTGCCGATTTGCATCACACGCCAAACTTAAGAGAACCGGTCACAAAGACGATTTCCCATGGATATCAGCGAATTTCGGCAGCCAGGGTTGTGTAAACCCACACTGAATTTCATTGGTGGCATATCACGGCCGATGTTGCTCAATTTACCTGTGCCATGCTTGCCCCAGTTTGTTGGGATGATGACAGGGATTGGCTGATTGGGCTGGCTTATTTGACAGATGAGCTTTCCGTCCAGGAGGAAGGCAGGTTTGAAGAAACAGAAACCAGTAATTGGTCGGTGTCTAGAGTGTTCATATGGAATGTTTGCCAATTGATTTAGTGGATGGGGTCACTTTTGGGTACTTGTGGGTGACTGTCATTGACTCTATTTTTTGTGTTATGTCCTACTTGTCCTATGCAGGTATTCCTGAGTCTTTCCTTACCGCCCACATAATTGCTGCAGCCAGTAAACTGCACCTGCCAAGCCTCATTGTTACGAACGCATTCCCCTTATTCGATGAATCAAACGTGTGTAAGGGAACCGGTGTTTTTATTTTGGATTCTCATTTTTACGAAGCGAGCAAGTAAGTGAGTGAGCGGCTGGTGGTTGCAAAGACAAAACACCTCGGTCCCGTTTTTTTAAATCACGCCTGGGGGGTCATGTTCTTGTCGGAATCACATTTCTTGAAATCACGCCTGAGGGGTCCATGTTTTTTTTGGTTTAAACAATCTCTGGGGGGTCGCGGTGCTTGTTTTGTTGCATTCATGCCTGTGGGCCGGGGCGTTTGTTCTTTGAATTCACGCCTGGGGCTCCGCTATTTTTCTTTTCTTTGAGTTCACGCCTCTGGTTTTGAAATGACTTCAACAGCAAAAACACCAGCACAGAAGCGTGAATTCAAAAAAAGAAGCGGAGCCCCAAGGCGTGAATTCAAAAGAAAACACGCCCCGGGCGTGATTTCAAAAAAGAAACACCTGGACCCAGGAGTGATTAAAAGAAACACTTGAACCCCCCCCTCCCCCCCCGCCCGGCGTGATTTGAATATATGTGACTCCAAAAATAACCCGGAGCCGTGTTGTGTGCACTTGGCGATGTTTGGTGGCCCCGCAGACATGTGTGGCTTCTTTTCGAATTATTCTAAGAAAGCCAAGTGGCTGTTCAAACAGTTTGTGCTTGGGGAGTCCTACTGGTTCTCAAAGGACCCAACTGGCAAAGAACCGCGGCCGAAGCTTCTGACAATTTGGGACGCGCGGTTGCTCTCCCACCAGGATCTCTTCAGCGACACCTTCGAGGCGCACCAACGCGGGCCGGACACACTGAAGTCCTGGCGCATCGGCGTCAAGGCGCGAAGTGTATGCGGTAGGAGCCCAGATGGGACCCCTCAAAATGGGCGGGTTTCCGTTCTTTCTTGGATGTCACTTTAACTCCGCAAAAGGCAGAATTGCCTTCAAAAAGGACAGCCGCGTGAGTTTATGGTTTGTTTGATTGGTACCATTCTTGGGTTGGTTTGCAGGGAAACCAAATGAACAGCCATGGAATTCCAAAATGGGTAGGGAAACAACCAACGGCTGCCCAGGAAAGGTTGCTAAACCATTCCTGTGGGTCGGGGGACCTTAATGATTGGCCTTGGGTGGTGTCACTTTGAGTTCCTTGGAACAGATACACAGAAAACAAAAACACGGAGTATCGTCAAAGCATGTAGCTGAATATTTTTGACTGTGGCTGTGCAGAATAACCAATGATCGTTTGAATTTCGCGGGAGGAATTGACAGGGGATAGCTACGTGCAACACAAGCAAACCCGGCTCCAGGATGTTGCCAACGTCGAGCAGTGACCTCTTGGTTTGTTTTGGAAAAGTCACCAACCATACTTCCAACAGGTCGCGTGCAGCTGTCATGACCATCGATCGCGAGTTGCATGAGTCGAGAGGTCGCAGTCACGGCGGGGTTCGTTCCTTTTAAGGTCCCGGGTTCCCCCGTTGTTGTGAGGTTATCAGCCGTAACGCTAAACAATCCCTTCCGTGACTGCGACCGTTTCGGTCGCACATTGAAGGCGGCCCCCACCGCGGCAACCGCGGAGGAACGGGGCCGCGTGCTCGACTCTTCAACACACTGCAACAGATCATTGTTGACGAGTACAAGCAGCAAGGGCGACGTTTCCGCTGGTTGAGGTTCCCCAACGCTTCCAAGCAACAGGCCAAGGCCCTCTTCAACTGGCGGGATACATTGGACAGTTGGCACCTTTGGTATTTCGATCCAGCAGCTTGGGAGGTCATCCGCAACTCCGACAACGCTTTCAGCAGCGTCTTGCTTCAGTTGAAACTGCGGGTGCGGTAGTGGCACAGGAGAATCAAGATCAGGATAGAGCCGCAGCCTCTGGCGCGGCGGGAGCTGTCAGCAGTGTCGAAGATTGATTGTGGCCTCCTTCGCCCCCACATACTCCGTCCTGGCAGCAAGATCCTCCTCGTGAGCCAAGTCAATGGTCTCGCATTGTGGGGTATACGCTATAAAGCTGCGCAACGCGGCGGGACAGCAGCCGGGAACGCTCACCACCTCCGAGATCAAGGCCTCCTTCAACTCCAAGGCAGGAGCCGACATTTGTCCCGGTGGAGCAAAGGGCACAGAGCGTTGAACCCGCGCTTGCGTGGGAGGGCTGCCCCATCACTCGCGTCGACAAGCACGGAACCTGGGTTCATCTCGTGGAGGAACCCTCCCCGGCGTTTCTCCTCGAGTTCACGGGCAACTTCCCACATCTCGGACCAAGTGGGCTTAACACTGCGCTGGAGAACGTCGGAGAGCGCATCGAATCAGCGGCAGGGTTTCTAGGCCCGGCTGAGCATCTCGATGAGCGACGATCTCGATAGCCTTTCTTTGCAAGCCGATAAAACCGATGCTTAGCGCGGTAGTTTGCATTTGCAGGCCTTCGATCTGCAGATTTTCCAGCAGCAGCGTGGCGACATCCCTTGATTAAGCACCGGAGTGCGGATTTGCGGACACAATCAATCTACCCATGTAGAATTCAACAGGTGCATCAAAGCAAAGCAGCAGGGCGATTTTTCTTGAGTTACTTGCTTGAGCTGTTGTCGCATCAGCGCAACAGTAGAACATTTACTTGAGCGCTTCGCAATCCGCTGCCAATCCAGGGCAAGCCCCACTTTGCACCTTCAACACGCGGCTTATAGCACGTGAAGCCAGCATCGTGTGTGAGCAAAAGTGTATGTGTGTGAGACACCATGACATCAACCGCAGACCTCCCACCTTCAGAGGCCCCAAAGATTCAGGAATGGCCACGCAACACACACTTCCAAACCCCAACGTGCCGCCCGGACAATCTCCACCAAGTGGCCCAATCGTGTCAGAGCTCACTTCATCCAAAGGTTCTCCACTCATACAGTATGCACAGGTGAATAATGTACCGACTGCAGCCTTTATCGCTGGAGCTGCTGTGCAGCAAGCTCATCGGGCATCCGGTCTCGCTGCCCAGGCGGCCAATCATGCCCTGCAACAACAGGCTGCAGACCAGGAGCAGGCTGTAAGGGAAGTGTCAGGTGTTAGGGTTCAAGCGGCTCAGCTGGCTTCACAAGCTCAACAGGCGGTTCAAGTAGCGCAACAAAGCAAGGCTCAGGCCAGACAGTTAATCGAGCAGACTCGACAGGAAGCCACAGGCCATGTTGAGAACGCACGGCAGGCTGTTAACGCCACTCAGCAGGACGCGCAGCATGAGGTTCATCGTATTGTTCAAGAAGCTCAACAGGCAATCTCGCAAAGAGAACAAACAATTGCCAGTCAAGAGCAAACCATTCGTGGGTTATCTCAGAAAAACTCTGTGATGCACCAACGACTTGGTGATCTCGAACATGTTGTTGCAGCCCTCACCCAAAAAGCTCGTGCGACCCCTGTTCCAGTTCAAGAGTCCCATCAGCCGGTTGGAGTACCTCAGGTTTCAGATTCACAAGATACCTCAAATGTTGCAAGCGAATGCTTTGTTAAGCAACCTCCCCAACCGCTCCACAATTGAGGACTTGGTCACCATGCCCCAGCTGATTCAAGGGACTGTGCAGAGGTTGCCACAGTTATCGTTCCGTAGGCCATCAGGCATTGCTAGGAGCCGCATCCCTTGTTGGAGACGCAGCCCCCGGCGCGTCGAGGGCCAGTGGTTTGCGGCGCAAGGGCAAGCAGAAGTGAGAGAGCAAGTGGCAGCTTTGGCAGAAATGGTTCAGCAGCTTTCCGAATTGGTTGCTAATCGAGTGGCTCCGCCACCTCCGCCGCCGGCCGCGCCTCCTCCAGTGCCTCCCGCGCCCGCCGCAAGGGCGCCGCCCCCACCAAAGGCTGGCGACAGCATTCGTGTTCCGCCAGTCCAAATTACAATGCTAGGAGTTATACTCGTCATCCCCACGAGCACCATCGGACACATCCGACTCCGATGGAGCAGACGACAGGGAGGCCCTGGCCAGTTCCCCAATGCAGACCCGTCTCATGCTGCCGATCCCAGTGTAGGCAAGCCCGCAATGGACCACGCCACATACGAGGATTCGGTCGTTCGTGCGAAGGTCAAGGTGGAGTTCATCAACCAAGTCTTGATGTCCATCGGGCGGCTCCAAAAGACTCCCGGAGACGAAGTATACCAGTGGGCCCTAGCGTGCACGTCCGACTCCAAACAGGAACTTGTGGCGGAACGTCTAGATTGCGAAGTGGCCGCAAAGCTCCTTAAAACCAGCGGAAAAGGTACGTTCGGGTTCTTGTTTTAAAACATGGTGGGGCGGGGGGAATTCTCGCCAGGCGGGATGTCCGTCGGGAGGGTTATGTTGCGTGCCATCTTTAAGCACTTCCAGTTGAAACAAGGCAGGATAGGAACCCAAGGAGGTAACTTGTTACAGTTTCTCAGGCGTTCGCATCGCCTACCCTGTGAGTAGGCGGGACACACAAGCGCATGTTAAACACTTCTGTCAGTTCATAGGCCTTAGGGCCACTGATTCGCTGCCAGCATGTCTAATAAAATGGATGCAGCCGGAGAGCTCGAAAAGCCGGCCCACAAAGTCGGTCTCGTCCCAGAGACTAGCTTGCCAAACAAGTGGCCACACAACACTGTCCTAGAGCGCGACATCTGAGAGGCTGCTGCAGCATCCACTTGCAATCCGGGTTGCCCTATTTGTTGCATACGTTTAGCTACCCCTTTGCTTGTCTCACTATGTCGTTCGACAGACCTGCCCCCTTTAGTCCCGGTAAAACCCAATGGGAGGCTCTCACAAAAGAAAAGTTCCAAGGCAAAAGATGCTGTTTCGGACAGTTGGTGTGGTATAGAACCAAAACTCCTGGCAAGCGTACTCTAGATCCGAACATGGCGCCAGCGCTCAGTTTGGGTCGGAGGGTTGAGGTGCCGCAAAGATGGCTCCATTTCCGTTCACGATGTTCCAGAGCCGGAATTGTTCGTTGAAGACGGACCGCCAAGCTTACACCGAGCGAGCGATTTGGTTGGCCCCATCAAGAAGCCATGGAAAGTGATGATAGCACACTCGCATCAGCACTCGGAGCATTTCAGCTAAGCAATCGTTTTGATCGACACGGAGCTAACCGGATTCGCACGACAAAGCCGGAAAACCGAGAAAGCCAAGAAAACCGGAAAACCGAGAGAACTGGAAAACCGAGAAAACAGGGAAATCGAGAAAACCGAGAAAATCGGAAAACTCAGAAAACCGAGAAAACCGGAAAAAAAACACGAGAAAACCGAGAAAACCAAGAAACCCGAGAAAACCGAGAAAACCGAGAAAACCGAGAAAACCAGACAGCTCCGTTGCTGGCTCTCAAGGCTTTCGCCTTTGTTCTTGAAGCTTGCGCCTTTTCACCTTTCTGCCATGCTGGCGTTTCACGGTTTTTGCGTTTTCGTGGTTTTCACCTGGTTGTCGCGTTTTCGTGGTTTTCGCGGTTCTCGCAGTTTTCTCGGTTTTCGTGTTTTCGCGGTTTTTGCGTTTTTGCGTTTTCTGGTTTTCGGGTTTTCGCGGTTTTCGCGTTTGCGGTTTTCTCGGTTTTCGCGTTTTCTGGTTTTCGAGTTTTCGCGGTTGTGGTTTTGTGGTTTTCGCGCTTTGCGTTTTTTTTCGCCTTTTCGCGATGTTCGCAGGTTTTTTTGCTGCAAGTTTCCGTTGTTAGTATGCTTAATGGCCTTGTGTTTCGAGCCCCAGCGGTCATAGAAATAAGATAGGTAGGTAGGTAGAGAGATAGATAGATAGATAGATAAATTAGATTAGATTAGATTAGATTAGGTTAGATAGAGAGATAGATAGACAAATCGATAGTTACATAGCATGGGAGAAGATAGGATAAGATGGGATAAGATAGGAAAAGGTAGA